AAAACCACAATGAGATACTACTACACTACTACTCTTAGAATGTCCAAAATTTACATTCATAAGCACATCTGTGGAGGGAGCCTCAAGAAATATGACCCCTTGGATAGAGAGATCCAGAAATCTGCAAGGAAGGAGTTGGGAATTTCTGATGTGCACATGGACTCCAGGCACAACAGAGCTGCCTGGGCCAAAGGAATAAGGAATGGGCCACACCAAATCTGTATACGGTCGTCCAGAAAGCATAAGGAAGATGGAGATTCACTAGACAAGGTCTATACATTGTTATCTACGCACTGTCACCACTTCCAAAATCCTATCAACAGGCAGTATGAGTTAAAACTGTCAACTAAAATTATGAAACCACACACACACACACACACACACACTACTGACCAAATGAAGTGTTGGTGAGGATGTGAAGCAACTGGAACTCATACAGTGTTGGTCAGAACATGAATAAAACCTTTGAAAATAGTTTGACAGTTACTTAACTGTGTATTTATACACCTAGTATATATGACCCACCTATTCCACTCCTAGGTATTTATCTGAGAAAAACAAAAGTGTGTGTAGAAAACAAAGATTTGTGCACAAATGCTCACGGCAGCTTTGTTTTTAAAATAATAAAACGTGAAAAAAACTCAAATATCCGTCCACAGGTAAAAGGAGAAACAAATTGTGACATATTCATTATTCATATGATGGAACACTACTCAGCAATAAAAAGGATGAATTACTGATTTTCACAACAGTATGGATGAATCTCAAAATAATTATGCTGAATCAAAGAAGCCGGTATAATTATTTTGTGTAATCCCACTTGTATAAAATTCTAGAAAATGCAGACTAATCTAATGCGACAGAAAGCAGATCAGGTGGCCAGGAGATGGGGGTGAGGGTGGATTGGGCAGAGGAATGGGAAAGGGGAGAGAAGGACAGGAGGTAGGAATTACAAAGGAATATGGTATGCCTCCTGAGAAAAAACACTTTGAAATATTTTTAGTGTTTGTTTTTTCCGTAAGTACCATGTCACTAACAAGAAGAGCCGTTTATTAGTGTTTACTCCGAGCTGAGGACTGTTATAAGTCCAGAAGGAAACCTGAGGGGATGATGGATATGTTTATTATCTCGATTGTAGTGATGGTTTCATGGATGTAAACATATGTCACAACATGATGCGTTTCAAATATGTACAGTTTATTGTTAAGTCCATCATACCTCAGTAAAACTGGTTTAAGAAAGAAAAGACTGTTAAAGTCAAAAATAATAACAATATATTGTGGGATTTATAACATATGGAATTAGAAGGGGCAACAGTAACACGAAGGATGGGAAGGAGGAAACGGAAGTAAATGGCTGTAGGATTCTTACGCTATTACGCTACCCATAAAGCACAGTAACATCTCAGTTTAATTTGAACACCATTTCCTACAAATAAAAAAAAATGTAGAAATACACCACATTTGCCAAAGCCTTGTGGACTATTTTGGCTTATAAACATTATAATCCAGGAAGATATTTTTGTACAGCAGAGGAGACAAGAGGTCTTCTAATGAACCTACAGCATGCTTGCCATGAAATGAAATGTGTTGGTTTTCCTGCTTGAGGATGGAAGGTAAAGCTAACTGTCTTGCTATCACTGCGGCCACATAAACATGGAAGCCCTAAAGACACAGAGTTAGGGTTGGTCACACAGACACTGAAGAGCTGGACAGACAGACCCACAGGGGTACAGCTGTGAGACTTCGGACCAATGCGTGACACTTGGGACCGAGCTAGAGAGGCCAACAAGACCTCTCTCAGAGGGTCGTTGAGAGGACAGAATGAAATCATGCTTCTGAAGGACTTACAACAGTCCTTGGCTCAGGGTAAACATTAATAAATGGCTCTTCTTGTTAGCAACAAGTGTTTTTCTCAGGAGGCATACCATATTCTAGTTTAAAAGAACACTAAAACAAAGAAACTACCTGTGCATGAAATTCGTTCTTACTGTCAATTCATTGATAAGTGTCAAGCCCAAGCCATGTATCCATGTGTTTTATGGATAAAAAACAGTCTAAAATTCTCCTGTGTCTAAGTCCTTAGAAGGACTTAGGCAGAGGTGTTAGGTATAAAAGAAAGCCAGTTCTCTGATGTTGGGAGCATTGGAAGATGGGGGAATCCCAGGCCCTGGAGAGTGAACATCCTTCTTCCTTCCTTCCTCAAAATCAGCTCTTTTAAAAGGCAGACTTGTATTTCAAAAGAAAATTCTGTGCATAATTCAAATTCCTTTCAACATACTATGAACCTATATACTTGGGCTTTAATGCTTTATACCTGGAAAACTACTAATCGCCTTCAATTATGAAATGGGCAAACTCCATACACCTGAAAGGGACAGATCATTATCCCACAGAGAAACCATATTAAGTGCTTCATTATGGAACCATGATAAGCATTTCGAAGGACGTGAATCTAACGGCCTGTTCACCTGAGACTCACCTTGGTCTCTCTGGAGAAGGGTTGGGGCTGCGGGGAGGAGGTGTGCGGGGCACAGCCGGCTTCGGTGCGATGCTGGCTGCAGGCAGGAGGCCATGGATGATGTGTTTCTGCACAAATGAAACCCAGCAGCGTCACTGGTGTATGGGACCACCTGGGTCTTGTCACCACCCTGCTTGGGGCCTGAAAGGGGACACCTGCACTGGCCACCCAGGGATCTAACCCCACCAGGAACCCAGTCCTCCCCCTGCCATCCCCAATTCCTATCTGGCCAGGCAAGTATGCCCACCCAGGGAACACCACTGCAGCTGCCCATTGTGGGGAACCTCTCATCCTTCCCTCCTCAGACAGGCTTCCCTGACCATCCCCCAGAGTCACTCTCTGGGACCTCCAGTCTCACAGCACCACCCCAATGACCCTACTCCCGCACACACTACCCCACCTGCAGAATGGAAGCTTCCCGAGAGCAGGCAACTTTCTTGTCTTTATCAAACCTGGAACTCAAGCACTTCCCCCATTACTCCACACTGTGTAGAAGCTTAATGAAGATTTTAGACAGTTTACGTCAAAGATGCAGAATAACGAAAACTAGTTCCTACACGCAATGAAAATCAGAGAATCTGGCTTTAGGCAACTGGCAGTCATTCAGAAGTTTCTGAGTATAGCCACTCTCTAGGCACTAGCCATTATTCACACCTACTAGACGCAAAACACCAGGACTGCAATGAAGAAACCTTGTCTTCATCGACAAGGTAATAGAATGTGGAGGGAAAACACCCAAGTACTTATCACGTAACACAGAATTATGGAAAGTGCCAAGGGAAAGATAAAGACAAATTTGGTGCTGGGATGGCACAGGGAGGGAAGGGCTCCTCCAGGTCTGGGGGCCAGCAAGGGGACCTCTAACGTCCCGCTGGAAAAAAATCACAGAGGCATTTAGACTGGGTCATCAAAGATGGCCACTGCTCTCACATGTGGGAAATGAGGTGGAAAAGCATTCTAGGAAGAGGGAACAGCATGAACAATGGACAGAAGCAAGACAGTAGTGGCAGTGTTCTAGAACTAACAAGTATTCCAGTTTGCTGGAATATAGAAGCATCTGAGAAGAGGCTAGAAGAATGCGCTGGGGGTAAGAGTGGGGATTGTTCCCATTTAAGAGTTTTTATACGTGACTAAGGAGAACCTGTGGCTTAGTGAGGAACACCCACCGAAATTGGCCCCTGGAAAGGCTCATCAGGCAGTGGTAGGCATGAAATTGGGAGTAGGCGCCTACAGTGTCAGGGTGGCTATGATAAGGTTGGAGGAGAGCATTCCAGGCAGAAGGGATAGCAAAGGCCTAAACGAATAGAAGAAATGGCTGGAGTGTGTGGCTGTTGGAGGCACTGGGTTTTAAGGAGCGCAGCAGCACGATCAGATGTCCAATTTAAGGGGCGCCTGGGTGGCTCAGTCGTTAAGCGTCTGCCTTCGGCTCAGGTCACGATCCCAGGGTTCTGGGATCGAGCCCCGCATCAGGTTCCCTGCTCAGCCGGAAGCCTGCTTCTCCCTCTCCCACTCCCCCTGCTTGTGTTCCTGCTCTCACTGTGTATCTCTCTGTCAAATAAATAAAATCTTAAAAATAAAATAAAGTAAAATAAAAGAATGCCCCTGGCTGCCATGCGGAAAACGGTCCTAGGAGAAAGGCAAGACTGGAAGCAGAGACACAGTGGGGCGCTGCAGCAGCAGCCAGGTAGATGCTGGAAGCCAGGGTAGGGGCGGGAACAGCTGCAGGTTATATTTAGTGGGTAGAATCTATGGAACTTGGCTGATGGGGTTACGCGGTGGGTAGCGGAGGGAGGACTCAAGAACGACCTGCCACTGGGGGATATTCAGCAGTGGAGTAGGTTTGTGCGGGCAGGAGTGTTCCCCGACACCGGAGCAAACGTTGCAGGGGAGACAAAGCGACTCCTGTCTCACTGAGGCCGACCCTGGGATAGAGGATGCTTTAGAACACAAAAAAATCAGGGCTTCTCGAGTGGAAAACAACTTCCTTTTGTGCTGCCACCTGGCCTCAACCTCAGGCCAAATCCCAACCCACCGCGCCCCCCCCCCCCCGTTTAACTCCTGGCCCCCCGGATCTACTTACAAACTGGCTCTTGCGGCCCCTGTGAAACCGCTGGAGCATCCTTGCTGCGGGGAGTGGCCGAACCAGGGCTGGACCGACGTGCAGATATCCTCCCAGGCGAGGACCGCTCCCTAGAACCTGAGCCCCTCCCGCTGGCTTAGCCCCAGACGCTTTTTCTACGCAATGCACTTCGCAACAACCTCGTCTTCCATTGGCTCTGCTTTCGCTTCGACCAATCAGAGCTAAGGCTACTCCGCACCCGTCGCTCTTGGCAACCAGTGGTCCCCATTCAAATTCCTCCTGGGCGGAAACAGTGTGTAGTCCGTTCTCTTATTGGCCAGCTCAGGTGTCGATCTCGACGCCATAGCCTATCTAGCGCCGTGGGAGGTGGAGGGCGGGCAGGATGAAAAATTGGCAAGCGCGCCTGAGGGAAACCGGAAGTGGCGCGCCGCGGGTGAAAGCTCAGGATCCTCTGGCAGGGGCCCAGGTGGGGTCCGGGCTGGCTCCGGACCAGACTGAGCAGTCGTGCCGCAGACCGAGCGGGGGTACCAGGAGCGAGCAGGTGACGAAAATGAGGGACGCGGCTACCAGGACGGGAATCTCCTGGGTCTTAGACTTTGGCAAATAATTCAGTCTTTTAAAGACACTGCAAGCGGGTTCTTGCCAGAGAGGCCCCGACTTCGAGGGGAGCCTGGGGCGGTGTGCGGGAGAGCCTGCTCGAATGCCGTCTTTTGTTTTCCTTATTAGATCGAGGCCGCCGATGGCCAGGAACCCCTCTGAGAGCACCGGCCCCATGCACGTGCCTTTTGGGCATGTTGTGGCCAACGAGAAGTGGCGCGGGTCGCAGCTCGTGCAGGGGATGCAAGGTCGGTGGGCTGCCCTTTGCATAAGTCCTCTTCTAAGCTTTTTCAAAACGTGCTACCTACTGTCGCCTTTCACCCAGAGCTCACGGAACTCCTTTTTCTTGTCTGTGTTCTAAGGGAAAATTAAAATCGTTTTTGAGGATGGCCTGACACCGGTAGATTTTTACTTGTCAAGCAGATCTTGCATTCTCTATGTCACCGAAGCTGATTTGGTGGCCGGAAATGGCTACAGGAAGAGGCTTGTTCGGGTTAGAAATGTAAGTACTGAATTGAAGACACTGAAACGGAAAATTGACTTCCATCCGCTGCCTCCTCCATCCTCTGGAATAATTTATATACAACCATTGGCCATTCCAAGCATTCTTGGACTGATAGCTTTCTTAAACTGGAAGGTAGTTTTGTTACAAAATGGTTTACTGTTTGGGTTTTTTTCTCCCTTTGAAGTCCAGTAATCTTCAAGGGATTGTAATAGTTGAGAAAACGCAGATGAGTGAACAATACTTCTCGGCCATACAGAAGTTTACGGTGCTGGACCTTGGGATGGTGTTGCTTCCAGTGGCCAGCCAGATGGAAGCATCCTGCCTTCTCATCCAGTTGGTAAGTACTGATTGCTACTCCGCTGCAGGAGCCCTGCCTTACCGACTCTCACCTGACTTCCGGATCTTTCACTCCTGCTGCTGCCCTTGCTACAGTTGCAATCCGTCAGTCCTGTCTACAGTATTCCTCACTTATCTGTGGTCAGCTGCAGTCCAAAGCACATGATCCTTATTTATTTATTTATCTATCTATCTATCTATCTATCTGAGAGAGCAAGGGCACAAGCGGGCAGAGGGAGAGAGAGAAACAGACTGCTGAGCAGGGAGCCTGACGTGGGGCTCGATCCCAGCACTCTGGGATCATGACCTGAGCCGAAGGCAGACACTTAACCAACTGAGCCACCCAGGCGCCCCGCAGATGATCCCTTTTTTTTTTAAATTTATTTTTTATTCTTATGTTAATCCCCATACATTACATCATTAGTTTTAGATGAAGTGTTCCATGATTCATTGTTTGTGCACAACACCCAGTGCTCCATGCAGAATGTGCCCTCCTCAATACCCACCACCAGGCTAACCCATCCTCCCACCCCCCTCCCCTCTAGAACCCTGTTTGTTTTTCAGAGTCCATCGTCTCTCATGGTTCGTCTACCCCTCCGATTTCCCCCGCTTCATCAGATGATCCTTTTTTGAATGAAAACAAAAACCTGATTCTCCATTGTCTTCACTGATTATTCATCTTGGCTGGGCTTTAGAATTTCCTGAGGAACTTTTAAGAACAGCGATACAAGAGCCTTACCTCAGACCAATTAAAAATCTGAATGTCAGGATAGGGCCTTAAGCATCAATTAATGTTGTGTTGTTGACTTTAAATTTCCCTTTTGATGTGCAGCTAGGATTGAGAACCAAATTGAAAAATGAAGGAGCCCCATGTTGTTCATAGATCACTCTTCCTTCTCCGCGGCGTCCCTTGCTTCATTGTTCCTAACTTCTTCTGATGTAATGCTGTCTATCGTCTGCCTTCCTATATCCACCACTAACTGAAAACCGGATTTCTCCTTTGATAGGCAAGCTCTATCCAGGTCCTGTACCAAGCAGGTCCAGTTTAGTTTTAATTTAATCCCATACTGGGTGCCTGGGTGGCTTAGTCAGTTAAGTGTCTGCCCTCCACTCAGGTCATGATCCCAGGGTACTGGGATCGAGTCCCACATTGGGCTCCCTGCTCAGCAAGGAGTCTGCTTCTCCCTCTGCCCCTCCCCCCTGCTTGTGTGTGCGTGCTTGCTCACTCTCTCGCTCTCTGTCAAATAAATAAATAAAATCTTTAAAAAAAAGATTTAATCCCATACAACTGGATTGTTTCTTAGTGGGCCACAGGAACATGTTTGAATTCCTCAGAGTATGTTTGTGTTGCTTTATCCTAAGCATTCTGAAAATCCAAGTTTTAATAAATTGTTCTTAGTCCTTTGTGTACTCATATGGTTCATCCTTCAATAATTTTGCTGATGCCTGAAAAATTATATTCATGGTGTATGAAAACATTTGTAGTGGTAAATCAAGCTGGACCAAATGGAAAAGGCAAAACTAAATTTCCATAAATTTTTAAGAGAACGGCCAGTCCTCTAGAGGGCGCTCACGTGCTTTCCCTTTACCATTGGTTTAGGTTCAAGAACAAACCAAAGAGCCCAGTAAGAACCCTTTCCTCAGTAAGAAACGGGCTCAGATCCCTGAGCTATCCCTCCTTCGAACTGTGCAACACATCCCAGGAGTTGGAAAAGTTAAAGCTCCCCTTCTGCTTCAGAAGTTCCCAAGTATCCAGCAACTAAGTAATGCTTCCACCCGAGAACTAGAGCCAGTCGTGGGACAAGCCGTAGCGCAGCACGTTCAAGCGTTCTTCACACGGCCCAGCTGGGACCGCAAGCTACCGGGTCTTGTTTGATTTTCATATTTAAAAATGGAGAACAAAGACTTTCCTGCCGCAGCACCTAATGAGTGACTGGGTGAGGCCTACACGGAAGCTGCCAGTTGCCCTGCCTTGCTCTCTGGGTTGGGGCGTTTAAGTTAGTGGGGCTCCCGATAGCCCGGCCCTCACTCTACTAGTGGAAGAGGAGGTGTGGAGGGCACGCCTGTCCATACAGCATGTGACTCTTGATCTCGGGGTTGTGAGTGAGCCCCACCTTGGGAGTAGCAATTACTTAAAAAACAAAATCTTAAAAAACAAAAACAAAAAAACAGGGGCCCCTGGGTGGTACAGTCAGTTAAGTGGGCTCAGATCATGATCTGTTTTGAGATCAAGCCCCGCATTGGACTCCATGTTTAGCATGGAGTCTGCTTGGGATTCTCCCTCTCAAAATAAACAAACAGGGGCACCTGGTGGCACAGTCGTTAAGCGTCTGCCTTTAGCTCAGGTCATGGTCCCAGGGTCCTGGGATCGAGCCCCACGTCGGGCTCCCTGCTCAGCGGGAAGCCTGCTTCTCCCTCTCCCACTCCCCCTGCTTGTGTTCCCTCTCTCGCTGTGTCTCTGTCAAATAAAATCTTTAAAAATAAAAATAAACTAAATCTAAAAACAAAAACGAAATCTTTAAAAAAAGAGAGAGAGGGCCCATGGGGACCTTCCTAAGAGAGTTGAATAAGGGACTCTCAAATTCAACAAAAAGCCGGCCCGGGCATATTGCCCTGTGTCTATCATGGAAAGGTCTAATCAGATTTCAGGAGGTAGATGTGACCATCTAAAGGAAACAAACCTACAATGCAGCGCTGTGCTGTGTACCATAAACCCCTTGTTCCTGGTGGCAGAGCCCGTGTTCTTGCAATGTGGTCTTCATATTACTGTTTTGAGGGTGTTGCCAGTGTAAATAAACAATTGTACTGCCTTTTATCTTCCTTCCTCCCTCCCTCCCCCTTCCTGGTAGCAGCACAGTTTGTCCATAGTCACTGAGCATGTCTTCTCAACACAGCCTGGAGTTTGGAGTTCCCTTTTAAAGGTAGAAAGCCAGTGTGTATGGAGGAAAAGAATGTGTTTGCCAGTGTATAGCCCAACCGTGGGAAGAGACAGAGGAAAATGGCAGGGCAGATGCATCCAGAGAGGAGAGCCCCGCGTGGGGATGAAAAGGTAGTCAGCCACTCAAAAAAGAAATGCACTTAGCCACTCTGGAAAACAGTATGGAGGTTCCTCAAAAAGTTGAAAATAGAGCTACCCTGTGACCCAGCAATTGCACTACTGGGTATTTACCCCAAAGATACAAATGTAGGGATCCGAAGGGGTACGTGCACCCCGATGTTTATAGCAGCAATGTCCACAATAACCAAACTATGGAAAGAACCCAGGTGTCCATCAACAGATGAATGGATAAAGATGTGGTGTATATATACACAACGGACTACTACTCAGCCATCAAAAAAAAAAAAAATGAAATCTTGCCATTTGCAATAATGTGGATGGAACTAGAGGGTATTATGCTAAGCGAAATAAGTCAGACAAAGAAATACCATTTACTTCGCTCATATGTGGAATTTAAGAAACAAAACAGGGTCATAGGGGAAGAGAGGAAAAAATAAAATCAGAGAGGAAGACAAACCACAAGAGTTTGTCTTAATCATAGGAAACAAACTGAGGGTTGCTGGAAGGGAGGGGGTGGGGGGTGGGGGGATGGGGTAACTAGGTGATAGACATTAAGGAGGGCACATGATGTAATGAGCACTGGGTATAAGACTGATGAATCACTGACCTGTACCTCTGAAACTAATAATATATTATATGTTAATTAACGGAATTTAAATTAAAAAAAAATGCCCTTAAAGATGCCATATGTTTTCAAAGATACTAAGGTAATTTGAAACCCCTCTAAGTGCTGTTTTGTGAAATGTTAGTCATTATAAAAGACCAAACCATAAGAACATTTTGTGCATTAGGGTAGAAACAATTTGAAAGAGGAGTGAAATAAGTAGGAAAAAAGTGAAAAAAAAAACAAAAACCAAAAAACCATTAACTCAGGCAAATGAGTATGTTTATTTAAATATTTATACAAAATGTCCCTAACAGTAGTGGATACACTTTCCCAAATATGGTTGCTTCCCTTTTGATATTGCACACTAGAAAATATTTACGTTCTTGTTAATTCTCAAAAATAGATTACAATGCTATTTTTTTTTAACTGTATAACTTGTACTATGTCAACCGTGAATCTTACAAGAATCACGGCATCATCCACCTTATGTCAAGAGAAATTGACAGGTAAGAATGTCATTTTAAAAAGTCAAATAGAGCTTTAAACTAGAATCATTTACATCTTTACCTTATAAAATGTTTCTAACCCATCTTAAAGACTCTTAAAATATATAATTATGTATTTTCTACTTTAAACAAAAATGTTTTGAGTATCAAACAGCATATTGTCTACCTTGTAGATAGCATCCCCATCTAACACTGCCACTGTGTTAGCAACTTGTAAATGACATCAGACTAGAAGCAACACTGTTCCTAAATTGTGTGTAGTTTTTTTGTTTTGTTTTTATCTGGTAAGTTATGACAGATTTGTCACTAGACTTTATCTGGCAACAGCATTCATATTATGTAGAAATAATCGTAAAATCTTACCATTTTAGGTTCATGAATTCCCCTTAGGAAGCAGTTCTTTGGAACATTTCTTAATAATACTAACTTAGTAATATAACTAAATCGGTATAGTTCCTTGACCTGCCTTAATTTGGGGTCATCTGAATTCCGAGTTAAGGAATGATCTATTACCCAAGGCTAGAAATGATTACAAGTAGGACCAAGAGAGGGAACCCTATTTAATTCTGATCGTAACTACAAATTGTCACTGCAGCCGTTAAAAATAGCCACATTTTCAACACCATTCTATTTACAATACTTTATATAATAAATAACTTGCAGCAATATGGTGACACTCCCCAATTTCTTGAGGTTTCTTGTTACTTTCATTCATGAAGACCTACCAATTGTGAGTTTACCCAGTGACAAAATGGGATTTGCGAATATTTAGAAATTTTCCACTGTGGCACAAATAGGAAGGCCTGGTCAGCACCGGAGACATCTGGGGCCTGGACGTTTTTTGTTTCCTCACATTAGTACAAAGAACTTTCGGAGTTGAGAAGGCTGAAGGGAGAGGGAAGCTTCTTCTTGACTTGAGGCCTCGCAACCCCAACTGACGGGAGGCACAAGGTGCTGGCCGACTTCTGTCTGTTCTTGTTGGTGCCCCAACTCAAAAAAGAAAGCTTCTTTGAGATTTTCTTGGTTTTATCAGTTTTATCATCATCATCTATGGCTAAACAGATCATGGAGTAGGTTTTCTGCATTCCCACAGAGTATGTTGCACACTTATTATGCTGCACATGGGAAAGACGAGAAACGGTGTTAGAAGTCCTCAAGATAGTTGATTAGTGACCGCAAAGTCTGAGGCTCACATTTTGCACTTACAGAATCCTTTTTAAAATTAAGTTGATATAATTCTGGAACTCGAGTGAATTAACGCTTACATAGAATCCGGTTCTTAAAAACAAGGACAATTTTTAAGGAATAGACTCAGTAGTAGTAATTTAGGCTAGCAGTAGGACTCGCTTTTTAAGGTTCTTATTCTATTTGTAAAAATAAGACTCATGCTCAACAATATGAAAATACATATACTAAAGAGTAGGGCATCCCTCGCACCTTGACTTCCAGGCCTTTCCCCTGAAGTAAGCACGATGACTATTCTGCTTTTATTTTTTTAATTAAAAAAAAAAATTATTTATTTATTTGAGAGTGAGAGAGAGCATGAGCATGGGGGAGGAAAGGAGGGAGAGGGCCAAGCAGACTCCCCACTGAGCACAGAACCTGATGCAAGACTTGATCCCAGGACCCTGGGATTCTGACGGGATTGTGGCCTGAGCCAAAGGCAGATGCTTAACAGACTGAGCCACCCAGGTGCCCTCTGTTACACTTTTAGAGATGATGTTCCGATCCAGGTATTGATGTGTGCATAGGTATACGTCACCGTTTGTCTTTCCCGAAAAGGAAGACACTACACACTGGTCTGCCTCTTGCTTTCTTCACTTAATGAACATACCTTGGATTTCAGTCCATGCCAGTAGGTATAGATCAACTTCATTCTCTTTATAGACAATATGGAATCTGTGGTGAGGAAACTAGTAACCTTTCCCCCCTATCTTTTAAACTGAGGAAATATACATAACCTAAAATTGGCCCTTTTAACCACTGTCAAGGGTACAGTCCAGTGGCATTAAGTACATTCAACTTCTGTGGAGCCATCACCACCGTCCACCTCCAGAACTTTCTCCTTTTCCCCAGCTGAAACTCTTTGCCCAGTGAGCACTACTATTAACTTTTAAAGGACCATGTAGGGTTCAAATAGGAAAGCTGCAGATACTTTTCCAGAATCTTCCATGTGGGTTATCCCCTGCTTCCAAGGTTTGCCTAACATTGGAGTTGCTTTGTTCACCAAATGTTTACTGAACATCTACTATGTTCCAGGCACCGAAACCAGGCCTTTAAATATACGTACTACATATCTAAAGTGGTGGGGGATGATAGTCATCATAGAAATCAAGGCATTTGAGAGGTGGGACAATAAAGAAGGGAAGGGGTATTCACTCTAAACTGTCCCTCTCGAGTCTAGATCCTTTGGATGAAGATGTCTCTTCCTTTTCTATAAAACTGCCATTTACTCCCAGCATACTCTACAAGACATGCATGCGCGCTCCCATTAAAAACAATAATAAATAGTCCTGGATGTAGATTTCATGCCTGCAAACACTTTTCAACCCTAACCTGCTTAAACTCCATTATGCATCTTTATGACCATTCTCTTATAAACACCCTCGATCCTCTCCCATACTTCAACCAGCGAATGCCAAGTCTAGTTAAACTCCACCCTCTGCCTCCCCCCAGGCCTGTACCCAAAGGGCTGCACGTTACTGGGGGATGTTTACCAAGCCGACTGGTCTCCCTTGAAACCCTAACCCTGGCCTCAAACCTCTACAGGGCACCTCATTACCTGGTACTCCTAAGGCTGTCCTAGTAAATTCATTCCTTCTCTCCTAGATGTCTCCTTGAGGCCCCACACATGTCCTCCTGATAGTACTGTGCTATACTTAATAGCATCTGTTCCTAAGGACAAATCCTTCTGTGTGCCTGATTCTCACTCCCTCCTCCCGGTATGTCCTCCATCCTGCACTCCTGCCTCCCCGACCTTTACTGTGTTATCGATACCCACACATACCCACACGACTACCACCACCACCCTTGAAAAGCTTCCCTTTTCCCTATGTCCCCCTCCCAGCTCACGCCTCCATGTCTGCTCCCTTCCTGCCACTCCCTTTTTTCTTGTCCTCAAGCACCATGCTCCCCATTACCCATTCTCCAAATAATCCAGGCACCCCTCTGACTCACAGCAATAGGGAGCCCGGTTTGAGAGCCTGGCACTCATTCCACTTTGTACAAATGAGGAAACAATCCTAGGGAGGGTACTAACTTGCTGAAGGCCACACAGCTGGTTTCCAGCAGGCAGGGCCCAATTCCAGGCCTGGGGTCTCTCCGCTACATCAGCAGTATTCCAAACGTGCCCCATGGAGGAGTGCCGGGGGTCCCCACCGCAATCCAAAGACTGCGGAGCAGATCATCTGTTCAGCTAGGTCCCTGGGCTTTATTCTCATTATCTGGTTTTGTTTGGAGCAAAGGCCCAGCAGTTAAAAACTCGGCGCTCGGTTGCCACTGTCTAAGGCCTCGCTGGGTGACAAGAATAACCCTATCATGGTTATTATTACACCTCTTGTGAAAGACACATATCCCATGCTAGGCACCACCTCGCCATCTTCCTGCAGCTCAGAACCAGTCCCTGATGCCCATGGTCACCACGGGCGATAAAGCCAGGATTCCTTTTCACGCAGTCTGCATCTAGAAAGTCTTGCTTTCTACGTCTACCTCAGCTCCTTCACAAGCCTGGCTCCAAGTTATTACAGAATGGAAAGACAAACCTTTCTCCTTGTAAAGCCACACCATATGCTGGGCAACACACACATGCGCGCGCCCCAACCCTCTGGTTCTGAGCCCAGCTCTCTTATTTATCCTGCTTTTGGACAACCTTCTTTTGTTTTTGGTTGGGACCCTGATCCCTTGCCCAGCAATTCTATAGATTCTGCCCCTAAAAATTCCATTTCTCAATGATCCCTTCCCCCAAGATGCTCTGTGAGTCCGACTTCATCTTCTTTCATTTTTAAATGGAGATATAATTCACATACCTTAAAGTTCACTATGTTAATACCACTCCGTGGCTTTGAGTCTATGCGGAGTTGTACAAGCACCACCACCACCTAATTTCAGAACAATTCTTTCCCCTCCCAAAGGAAACCTTAAACCCATCAGCAGTTACCCCCCAATTCCCTGACCCCCCAAGTCCCTGGCAACCTCTACTCTACATTGTGCTTCTATGGATAAGCCTGTTCTGGACATTTCTTATCAAAGGACTCACACGATCCATTCACTTTCCAGGCCTCTCTCATCAGCGTTGTTTCCATCTCTCCATGGGAAGTGTCCTTTTGTCCTGCTGTCAAATATAATAAACACAACTCCATCTCTTAACTGTACTCTACACAATCGACCGTTTTCTCTTGGCAGGATTTTCTTCTCTCGATTCCAGAAGCTTCTTTTTATCCTCTCTGAATGCCGCTCCGCAACTTCCTTTGCGCCTGCTTCTCTTCTAACTGACCTCCAGATGCTTGCGGTGTCTCCAGGTTGAGTCCCTGACCCTCAGCCCCTCGTGGGTAATTCCATTTACTCTCTTCACAGCTTTAAATATCATCTCTGTGTTGGTGATTCTCTGATGTTTATTTCTAGCTCTGACTTCTCCCTTGAACTGAAGATGTGGACATCCAGCTGCCTACTTCACATTACATTTGGGCGTCTAACATCATGTGAAACATTCACGGTACAACTCTGTTTCCTCTCTCCTCTCCCTCCCTTGCCCTCTTCCCCGTCATTACAAAAAACGGTGCCTTCATTCAAGCCCAAACCCGGGGAGTCATTTTTCTCTCCAGGATGTTTTTTACACAAATCATCTACAAACCTCTGTCAGCTCTACCTCCAAAACCACATCTCGGGCACATGCACCTCTCCCTCCCTCCGCCGTCACCCGCCCTAACGTCAGCTGCTAAGCTCGCTGGCCCGGGCACCTGCCCTAGCCAGCTCCCGCTACTGCTGCCCAGCCAGCCTCCAGGCAACAAGACGTAAGATGTCCTTCTGAAATAAACATCATTCCCCTTCTCGAGAGGCTCAATGGCTTCCAAACTCCCACCGCTGCCTATGAGGCCCTGCCTCCCTCCCACCTCGCTTCCTGTCACTCCCTCCCTGTCACCATGTTCCAGCTGGAAGGCCTTCTTTCAGATCCTCCCACAGGAGAAGCTTCTTCCTGCTACAGGGACTCTGCACCTGTTGGTCCCCCTGCCCAGAAGGCTCCTCTTGCACCTCCTCAAATGGGGGTTTCGTCCCTGTCACTCATTGTTTCGGTACAAGCCCTCTCTAGAGGAGCCTCTCCTGCCTCCAGACGTTCTTTGCTTTTTTGTTTTTTTTTTTTTTAAGATTTTATTTATTTATTTGACAGAGAGAGACACAGCGAGAGAGGGAACACAAGCAGGGGGAGTGGGAGAGGGAGAAGCAGGCTTCCCGCGGAGCAGGGAGCCCGATGCGGGGCTCGATCCCAGGACCCTGGGACCATGACCTGAGCCAAAGGCAGACGCTTAATGACTGAGCCACCCAGGCGTCCCCCACCTCCAGACGTTCTGTCACGTTACACATCGTATTTTCTGTACTGTACTTATCAGAATCACAACCACGTATTTGCGTATTTAGTGCCCGCTCTATGGGGGCAGGGACCGCATCAGACTAGATGAACCATAGCTCTAACACCAAGGGAGGGCCTGACACACACAGATGCTCAGTCACTATCTGTTGAATGAATACATGAGTACCGTTATGGAGGGAAGTGTCTAAGGTACCATTCTGTACCATTTCAGTATTTTTTTTTTACCATGAGTACATATTACTTTTGTAATCAAAAAAGAACTTAATCAGGCAGTGCCTGGGTGGCTCAGTTGGTTGACCATCTGACTCTTGGTTTTGGCTCAGGTCGTGATCTCAGGGTTGTGAGATAGAGCCCCGTGTCCGGCTCCACGCTCGGCGGGGAGTCCGCTTGGGATTCTCTCCCTCTCCCCCTACTGGTCCCTCTCTCTCTGCCGCTCACTCACTCTCACGCTCTCTCTCTCTCTAAATTAAATCTTTAGGGATGCTGGGTGGCTCAGTCAGTTAAGCATCTGCCTTCAGCTCAGGTCATGATCTCAGAGTCCTGGGATCGAGTCCCACATCGGGCTCCCTGCTCAGCGGGGAGCCTGCTTCTCCCTCTCCCACTCCCCCTGCTCATGCTTGCTCTCTCTTTCTCTCTTGCTCTCTCAAATAAATAAAGTCTTTAAAAATAAATAAAAAAATAAAATCTTTTAAAAAATTGAGAAAAATAAATCAAGTGGTTCTTTCATCTACAGCATTTTTTTTTTACAGTTTTCCAATGATCTCTGGCCCCAGGTGAGCACATCCCAGCAAGGACGAGTTTAGGAGTCCAGTCGTCAGGTCACCAATGCAGGCAGGAGGTGCAGGGCCTGGCACACCCCTGGGGCTGGACTCACGCCGGCTTCACTCTACAACTCTGTTTCCTGCCGGCCTGTCAGCACTCACCATGGACGAGGTGAAGTCCAGCAGGCTCACGATCTTCATCTCCACGCCGTCCCTGCCACACGCCTTCAGCAGCCTCATGACCTCACTCACCGTCAGCCACTTGCAATCCACGTCTTGAATGGAAACGATATAATCCCCTTCCTTGGCCCCTGCCAGCTACAAACGTAGGATTTACAGGAAGGTCAGTGTTCTATTCATTCCAATCCCTGGATCAGTTCCCAAGTACATGAACAAAATCGACAGCACGCGTGAATCCTTTGCTCTTTGGGCAGGTAGCACCCGCAAGAGGCCTTTCACAGTCAGACCTTTTACACAAAGGAATCCTAAATTCATTCCTACACCCAGGTAGATTTGTTTGGGTAGCTTTCTTCGTACGTGACTGGTCTGACTGCTTCCAAGGCAACGGTGAGTTTTTCTCCTGATCTAGAGAGGCACACGCTTACCGCGGCAGAGCAGTGAGGATCCAGGAAGTGGACCTGAACGGGGGAGTTTCCTCTCAAGGTGAACCCCAAGTCCCCTTCTTCTGCAGTGAAGTGAATGCTTCGAGGAGGCGTCCATCTCTTGTTAGCCGAAAACACCGATAGGGGGCCCTTTGGAACAGAGCATCATTAGGTGTAGGATCTGAAGGCTGAATCAGGCACTTGAAAGCTACAGGAAATGTCACCTTGTCCTTGCAGATGTCACTCGGCCTTGTTCGGAGACCAATGACACCACTAGGGACAATACGTGCTACAGCAGTCAAACAAGAACATTAACTGCCATTTTCTCTAAAATAGCTAATATATTTTAAAGAAAATGTTGGGGTTTTTTTTAGATTTTTATTTATTTGACAGAGAGAGAGAGAACACAAGTAGTGGGAGTGGGAGAGGGAGAAGCAGACTCCCCACTAAGCAGGGAGCCTGACACGGGGCTCGATCCTAGGACCATGGGATCATGACCTGAGCCGAAGGCAGACGCTTAACCGACTGAGCCACCCAGGCACCCCAAGAAAATGTTCTTTAAAAAGTCATCTTAGGGGCGCCTGAGTGGCTCAGTTGGTTGAGCGTTCAACTCTTAATTTGGGCTCAGGTCATGATCTCAGGGTCCTGGATTGATTCCTGCATCAGGCTGTGCGCTCAGCACGAGTCTGCTTATCCCGCTCCCTCTGCTCCTCCCCCTGCTCCCATGCACGCACTCTCTCTCTCTCAAATAAAATCTTGGGGCACCTGGGTGGCTCAGTCGGTTAAGTGTCTGCCTTCAGCTCAGGTCACAATCCCGCCATCCTGGGATCGAATGAATCCTGCACTGGGCTCCCTGCTCAGCAGGGAGCCTGCTTCTCCCTCACCCCTGTGGGGCTCCCCCTGCTTGTGCTCTCTCACTCTCTCAAATAAATAAATAAAATCTTAATAAATAAATAAATAAATAAATAAAATCTTTTTTAAAAACCATCTTAATATCAAGTCTCTAATTTAAAAAGTCTAATAATATTATTAGGGCGCTGGGTGACTCAGTCGGTTAAGCATCCGACTCTTCATCTCTCGGCTCAGGTCTTGATCTCAAAGTCATGTGTTGGGCTCCACAATGGGCATGGAGCCTACTTAAAAAAAAATCTAAAATGATCTAAAAATAGCCTTTTACATACTTCCAACTTATATGAGCTGTCCCCTTGAGTCACTATGAAATAAGCATTCAACATACCAGCTTCTGGAAGAAGTCTGTCACTGTCACCTTGGAGAATTGTGGCAATATAATTTCAACCTCTTGCTCAGTTTTAGCTGGAAAAGAATATTAAAAGGAAAAGCGTAAATGTTTCTGTAACTGAAAGTGATCCTTGAAAACTCAAGCCTAAGTCTTTTTTCCAAAGGGAAGAGAAGCAGACCTTTCTCCTGGTCTCTTGGCCTTCCTCTTGGTCTAGACAAGTAGTACAGAAGATGGACTGCTGGTCAACCCCCTGGCCCAGTGTCACCTGTACCTTCCATCTGGGTACCTGCCATGAGCCATACCTTGCTGTGGGGCCGGGACAGAGTAGTGACAATCAGACACATCCCCTGCCTTCAAGAAGCGTACATATATTCTAGCAGACTTCCTTTGGCACTCATGAAACCCGACTAAGAAGTCATCTACATTTCAAGTGTGGCTATTACAGGAGGAAGTACCGTGCCTCTCAGCACACAGTCCTGGGTGAGATGAGCGTCCTCTTTTCATCATTCACGTGTGAGATGAGGATTTTAGTGGGATGTCAGTTTGTCAGGTCGTGTCCACTGAGAGCTTAAATCTCCACCATCCTATTCATGGGAGGCTCAAGCCAACCCTTACCACGAGGCTAGTCAGCTCCTAACACAGGATCCCAGAACAGGCTAAGTATACAGAAAGAACAGCATAAAAAGAAAATCTGAGGAAGAAGCCTGATCCTGCCAAGGTAGAACACAGCCCTCTACTTGCAGGATGGCCCTGTGGCTTCTACAAACTGCCAGACACAGTGTTGGGCTCAAACAGGGTGCCCATCCATTACCAGAGTGGCACCATCAGCCTGGACATCCTCGCCAGGAGCCACGTTCCCCTCCTCCCTCCGTGGAGGTCGTATCTCTACCTCCTGGCCACAGAGCACACTGTGTGGACAAAGGGGCCGAGGAGGTGCCAGTGTCCATGAAGGAGAATCATGGAGTGCCATTCCTGCCTCCACCTACCAGCTTGCTCACCTGGGGCAAAGAGTCTGATTTCCCTAAAGCCTGTACTGGCTCATCTTTAAGAGGAGGGCAATCCTAGTCCCTCCCTATAGAGCTGGAGGGAGAGTTGAATGAGATTCCACCTGTCGTGCTTACTATTGTGCCTGGAAGACCTCAAATGCTCAGTAGATATCCGCCAGCATTACCACAGACAAGCCCAGGGTTCCAGCTTGAGCAGGGCTCTGTTTCTAACAACTGGCCCCTGGAAATTGAGGTGGAACCTCAGAGACGGGAGACAGAGGTATAGGAAGTGGGGTGGAAGGAGGTATGGACAAAGGGGGTTCCCTTGATTGGGCCACCCCTTCCCCTAACTCTTTAAAAGATCCTAGTCATTCCTTAACTATAAAGTCACCTCTCAGAGAGGCCCCCCAACTCCTGCCTCCTGGGGCAGAACCAACAGCCCCCTCCCCAAGGGCAGCAACAACTGTCCCATTCACCTCCATCTTCCTGAACCCCGGATGGTAATTAACATCTTGGAAATGCCTAGAAAGTGCTGGTGGTGCATGATCTCACTGATACGTGGAATCTAAAACAGTCAAGCACTTAGAAGCAGACAGCAGAATGGTGGGGTGACAGTGGGGGTTGGGAATGAGGCAATGTTGGTCAAAGGTACAAAGGTTCAGTTGTGCAAGATGAGTACGTTCTAGAGATCTAACACAGCATGGTGACTACAGTTAACAATACTGTATCGCCTACTTGAAATCGCCAAGAGGATAGATCTTGAGTGTTCTCACCACACACACGCACACATGATAAACTAGGTTTTGAAGAATTTTGACTGCCAAAGTAAAAATTTTCCCTGCACCCCCTGGCTCTACTCTTTCAGCGGAAAATTTACTTCTCATTTCATAATAAAAAAAAAAGTTTGTCCTAAAACAAGAAAGAGGGAAAATGTTGGTACTGAAGGAAGGAGAGAACAGGAATGAGCAAGCGTAGGGGAGGGAAGAAGGAAGCATTTGGCTTTAAAACCTTGGAGCTGGAGGTAAAAGGCCGATACAGCAGAGTGCATTCCCAGAGGCAGACGGAATCTGGGGGTGGAGCATTAGCAGAAGCATCTAGGCGAAGGTAGTTTCTGAGGTCTCCTGACTAGAAGCGACAGCTAGAACCTCAGGGAGGTGATGAGACTTTAAGGAAACCATCCAGAGGAGACAAACCAGCGAGAGTAGACCCCCGAGAATGCCAGGAGGGGGTGGGTGGGATCGGGCGAGAACAGTCAGCAAAGGGGGTACTGAGGGAGGTGGGGACAGAAACAAGGCGGCAGGGCACCCCGACACCGAGGGGGGCATATTGAGAGACGGGGGGGTCACATGCTACCACGAGGTCCCTGACGACAAAGACCATAAAGAAGCCCCTGCACTGAGGGAGCAGAGAGAGAACTCAGGGTCTGCCCAAGCCTTCCCAGATGAGCGGATCAAGGCTGTGTCTCCGGAGAAATGGGGGCACCCTCTGCACCCCCCACAGGCTCCCAGGTCACTCACAGATGATGTCGGGAGCCTCGATCAAGTTCAGCAGGTCGTCGTCCTCCCTGTGCTGAGCGTCCTTGAGCCGGGACCGCTGGTGCGCCGCGGACAGCACCTCCTGCAGGACCTCAATGTCGCGGAGCTTCTTACACAGGCTGGCCTCCCTCACGGACTCTTCGTGATGCGCCACGGCTCGGCGCACATGCGACTTGCCTGCCCCCAGAAAGCCAACCCCACGTGACACGGTGCACCCGCCAACTGCAGTGTGAGTACCTTGGGGAGAGCCCAGGTGCCCAAGGACCAGCCCAGAAGGGTGCACCTTCTCTTTTCCGAACGATCTGCCTGGACAGCATAAGTCCCTCTTAAATCCATGTGCAATATGCTCACTCGGGTCTATAAAACGTTCATTCGGCAAATATTTACCAAGTGTTCTGGGCACTAGAGGGGAAGCAACAAACAAAAACTAGCCCCTGTCATCATGGAGTTTATGTGCTGGTGGTTGAAGACAGATCATCAACAAGCAAAGAAATCAGTAGTGGATCATGGGTGATAAGATTAGGGAGAGAAATAAAGCAGGGCAGGTAGCAGGTCTAGCAAAAGAAGACTGGGAATAGAAAGTTGCTCTTCTATGATGGGTGATCCAGGAAGGACTTCTTGAAGGTAACTTTTGAGCAGAGCCCTGAAGGAGGCGAGGCGGAAGCTACAAGGATATCTGACAGAAGGGCACTCCTGAAAGATGGAACAGCAAGTGCAAAGGCCCCGGGCAGGAGTATGCCTGTGTGTTCCAGGGTTACAAGGAGCTTGGGACTGTGGCCAGAGGGAGTGAGGGATGGAGGGAAAGGCAGGGAATGAGGCCAGAGAGGAGCAGGGGACAGACATGTCTCCAGCCTTCTGCCCCTACTCTGGGTGGTATGGGAGCCCATTAGGGTGTGAGGACTGATGTGATGTGACCCATGTGAACTGAGAATGAAGGAATGAAGGAATAAAGAGGAAAGCAGGGGGACCAGTTATGAGCTGTGTGACCTCTCTGGGCCTCTGTTTCCTTAACTGTGAAATGGGGATCATATTATGCCTATCTCACAGGGCTATGTGAGATTGAAGGGAGTCAATGTGTGGTAAGTAAGCACTGCATCCGTGTGGCTTAGACCAGGGTGGTAGGTGAGAGGTGGTCGGATCTGGGACGCGTTGTCTAGGTAGAGTCAATGGGATTTGCCAATCACGGGTGGGGTGAGAAAGAAGGCTGAAGGTGGGAGGTGAGTCCCGGATTCCTGGCCTGCACACCTCTAGGCTGGAGTTGCCATCCGTGAGACTGGGAAGTGCGTGTGGGTGTAAGGAGCAGGTTTGGGTAGTAGAGGAATTCAGGCTCGCACATGGGAAGAGAGATTCTGACACCTGGCAGAGACCAAACCAGGACCACTCATCACCAGTTCTTAGGTGTGACAGAAGAACATTAACAAATGTGCCCTTCTACGTTCGGATGACCAAGGGCCATCCCCTGGACCACTAGGGGGTGGGAAGATCGTCAGAGCTCTGGCTCCGCTTTGGGAGGCCCAGGGCCTCAGAGAACCTGCAAGAACACAGCCCCAGGAGCCTGTTGAGGCTGCAGACTGTGCCTCACGGTTTCTGATCCAGAGTGGCCAGGATGACCCAGGATGCCCTGCTCTCTGGACCCTGTCCTGGGGACCTGTCTGGGGCTGTCTGTGAGCAGGACCAGATAGCTGGGCATCGAACAGGGCCTGCAGACAGAGGGAGGACAGCCGAGGCATACCCAGCTGTCGGCGCTGGTGCCCGTTCTTCAGCGTGGCTAAGGGCGTCAGTCCCTCCGGCATGTGGTCGTAAAGCTGGGACAGGCACTTCTCCTGATGATCCTCATCAGCTCCCGGCTTCACTGCAATGAAAGCCACAGGGTAAATCCCTTCTTGTGGATGTGACCACAGACTCTGGAGACAGTGCCTCGGACCCCTCAGAGAGGGCACCTGGGATAACAGGTCTCCTTTCAGCGCCTGGACACACCGGCCATCCAGCTCACAAGTCTTTGTGCACTTGGGGCCAGGCGCACCCTAGAGGCTCATGGTTTGGCTCTGAGCCCCCACTCTACCTCCTCCAACTCACCCACCTCACGGAACTTCCTAGCATAGCCCAGCCTCAAGCCTCTGGTGGCCTCTGTGCCTGCATCCGCCCTCCCTGGCACGCATCCCCTCTCTAGCCTCACCAAACCTCTCACCGCCACCCACCTCAACACTTCTGGTCTCCATTCCAGAGCTCGGCTAGTGTTCTAGCTCTAGCTGTCCTTTTCCTCCTCGTTCAGCTGCAAAAGTGCTCCTTAGACTTCAAGGTCCAACTCAAATGTCACCACCTCTGAGAAGCCTTCCATGACTACACCAAAAGAGTCCAACTGCTGGCCCATGTGTGTTGCTACCACAACTGCTGAATGGTTTATGTGACTTGTCGTGTCTACTGTGGGGCGACCTTGATTAGAGCTCATGACAACAAGAGTCTCACCTGACCTCAAATCAGAGCCAAGACTAGGGTGAGGAGAGCAAGACACTCACCTCGGGCTAAAAATTTAAGAGGGCACCACCAAACACTCAGCAGTCAGGATACATGATAGTTTAATACAATTTTCTAAATACCAAAATGTATGCTAAAAAAAAATGTACAATGAACAGACATCAAAATTCCTCTTTGCTTCAGGCTCCGAGGTGGGTCAGCACAACATTGTTACTGATCTGTAGTCTTATTTAAAATTTGGATCACCGTGGATTTTTTCGCATTAGTTCTGACTCATTTAAAATATCGCATCCAAAGATTATCTTGAATACTGAGTTTGGGGGCATCCCCTTAGGTTCGGTGCCTAGGTGAGTGCCTCACGAGCGCTAGCCCTGGTCCGAGCCCTGGCCTCAACGCCGGGGGGTGGGGGAGGAAGTCATCTCCTTGGAGCTGTCTGCTCCATCCCAGGCAGAATTACACTCCCCCTCTTCCTCCATAGCAGGAACGGAGAACCCCTAAATCCTGGGAGCATCTCCAGGGCAGACAGGCAGCTCTCACTCAGCTCAGAATGTTCTGGAAGCACAACCCTGACCAAAGCCCCAGAGCCTCCAAGCCCACAAGCCTTACACTGGTGGTCGATGAGAAGGGTGGCCACAAAGTAGTGGGCCAGGGCTCCGTAGTGGTGAGCCTTCACGCAGGCCAAGCTGGCCCAGGAGTAGGGGATGTTCTCCTTCACCGGTGCCTGGCTCATGGCCGTGTGCAGCTGCCGATAGACCTCCCCCACCTGCAACAGAAGGAATGCCGGGGATGGGGAGCCTGGCCCAGGGGTGCTCACGCACCCAGGCTGCAGAAAAAGAGCCCTTTCTTCTATGGAGCAGCCCTGCCGGCAGCCGCTCCAGAATCTGGGAGCAGCTCCAAGGCTTCCTAGTTCTTTCAGCACAGAGTTCACAGCGAGAGTAGGCAACGGTCATGATGCTGGGTTTTTGGCCTAAGCTGCAGATGGAATCAGTGATCCGTATCAGAAACGCCACAGCTTGCCAAGAAAATGCAAGCTCACACTCGGTCCAGGGCAGGCACGCCGCCCAGGTCACAGGCAAGCTGCCGTGGGAAGCCGCCACTGCTTCCAGTGGGCCCACATTGACACATCCCGCCCACCCCCAAAAGTCACGGGACCCAGGAGGGCTCACCTTGGCAGCCTCCTGAGCCACCTTTACCAGCATGAAGAACTCGTTCTGGATCCCAGGAAGGCAGATTTTCTCAAACACATTTTCTTGGGCTTGTGCAAGCATCATTTTGACCAGCACGCTGAGCATGGCAGGACTCATGTCATAACTTGGAGTATGAGTGAACGTCTCCTTCAGGTGATTTAAAACCCCTACAATTGGAAATTTTTTTGCACGTTAGTGGGGGGTCATATCGATTTCACCATACTGTTCAAAAGCACAGAGATGGAGAGAGGCAAAAATTAAGAACGTGTTCTGGAACGTTGTGAAAAATCTGATTCTCAGTTACCGTAAGATCGCAATTCCCTTCCTAGGTATACACCCTGAAGAATTGAAAGCAGACGGAAACCGATGGAAATCGATACTCGTACACCCACATTCACAACAGCATTAGTCATAACAGCCAAAAGGTAGAAACCAACCCAAATGTCCATCAACGTACAGTTAAACAATGTGGTATATACATACAACGGAATCACTTTTCAGCCTTAAAAAGGAAGGAGATTCTGACACATGCTACAACATGGATGCAGACATTACGTGAAGTGAAATAAGCCAGTCACGTGGGCAAATATTCTGATCTATGAGACAAGGTATCTGAAAGAGCCAAATTCAGGGAGACAAAAAGATAGCATAATGGTTGCCAGGGGCAGGGGGCAGGAAGGAATAGTTAAGTGTTTAATGGGTACAGAGTTTCAGTTAAAGGTTATATTTATTTGAGAGAGGGAGAGAAAGAGAGAGCACGTGCATGCGTAGGCAGGGGGAGGGGCAGAGGGAGAGAGAATCTCAAGCAGACTCCACACTGAGCACGGAGCCCGACATGGGGCTCGATCCCATGACCCTGAGATCAGGACCTGATCCGAAACCAAGAGTCAGACGCTGAACCCACTGTGCCCCCCAGAATTTCAGTCCAGGCAGATGACAAAGTTCTGGCGATAAGAGAGTTGCCCGACCACGTGAATGTACTTAATGCCAATGAACTGAACACTCGAAATCGGTTACAAATGGTCATTTTCTTTTGTGCATCTTAACAAAATAAAAAAAAAATCAAGATTCTTTTCTAAAACACTTCCATCTGTATCAAGCGAGGAAACCAGCCTGCTCCCTGTTTACTCCTGTCTCACCTGGGCCAACCATTAGGCATCCCATATGTGACCCGGCGTTTAATGGAGGTGAAAGCAGAAAGCAGGCAGGCTAACGGCGGGAGGCCTCTCCGCGGGACATGCTCCCACTTAACACCTGGGTCATGATGAAAATCAGGGCTTTTCCCCAGGACCTCAGGAAAGACCAACCCAGCCACTCCAATGGAAATTTTCCTGCTGTGGCCCTTAGCTGACTTTTTTATATGTTAGAAAATTAACTGTCACAGCGCTGACTGACAGTCAACCAGAGGCTGAAATAAAATCTCTGACATGAATCCCATCTGACTGGTTCCTCTGGTTTTGTTGCAAAGCCTGAACTGCCCCGTGGACAGATGGCAGAAGCTGCAGGCTATCTGCTCCCTTCTGGGGTTTGCTCCCGCTCTGTTCTTAAGCTTCATGTTGTCTATGTTGCTGTCATCCTAGAGATGGGTCACCAAGCATGCCTGCTTTAGGTTCCTCAGAAAGAAAATGAGCCCAGGAAAGGATGTACAGTAAAAGAAATCCACTCCCACATGGGATCTTAGCATGTTGTTTTATCCCAAAGGATCTTTTTTTTTTTAAAGATTCTATTTATTTATTTGTCAGAGAGAGAGAGCACAAGCAGGGGGAGCGGCAGGCAGAGGGAGAAGCAAGCTCCCCGCTGAGCTGGGAGCCCGATGCGGGGCTCGATCCCAGGACCCTGGGATCATGACCTGAGCTGAAGGCAGATGCTTAACCAACTGAGCCCCCTTGGGTGTCCCCCAAGGGATCAGTCATTTTAACATAAGCGATTTCACGATCAGCCAAAATGACAAAGCTCTGGTTCTTCATGGCCTTGCAGAGCAAAGTGAGACGCCCCAAACATCCCCTTCTGGGAGTAACTCCCCAAAGCAGAGTGACGAGGACCAGCACAGAAGGGAACTTGGCGCGGAGCCCGCTCAGGGGATCGTGCTGTGGTCTGGGCCGCGTGGCTGCTTTCTCCCACCATTCCCAGTGGCAAGTCCGCCAGCCACAGGCCCTGCTGCAGGAGAGCAATGCAGGACCCTCAGACACCCCGGAGCCAGACCCACCCACTACACCCAGCCTGGCAACCTCCGGTCCTCTACAGGTTGATGCTAAGTGTCACTTGACAGAGGGCTCAGAGGAGAGCCTCGGGCAGGCAAGTTTTCCACAATGAGCACAATATAAACACATGGAAAGTAACATGTAGTGATGAACCAGGCCTGGTGAAAGAGAAAAGAAAGAGCCTACATTTGCACTCTTTGAGAAAAACGTATTCCCCTTCCCCAATACAGTGTTCAAAGGAACAATTCATTCACTGCCATCCTTGGGGCCACTCATTCGGAAAAGATTAATTGTTAACCACGGGGTTCGCTGTGTCCATGGGCCATTAGGGCTTGAGCCGTTAAGCAATTCTCTCGGTGGGAAAGTACACCAGCACTAGAAACCCGCCTGGCCCTTACAGCCCTGGGAGCCCAAGCATGGGCCTGGGGAAGGCCCATGGACCCTCTTCCGCTGCAGAACCCCGTGCCCTGCCCCCCAGTGAGGCCAGGACGCTATCCCGGCAGCCTTCCTGGAGACACACCTGCGGCTCTCTGAAAGGCATCCACCGCGCCCTCCAGCCCAGCCTGGGTCCGCCGATTGCACCGGGTCCCAATCTGAGTGTAGAGGGCTCCGATGTTAAACAGAATGCTGGCCTTCTCCAGTAGCAAGTTCTGCTGGCTCACCGGAACCCCGGTGAGCGAGTCATACCTAGTTAAAAGAAATAGGTTTTGAGAACATGAATTATTTGGCTGGTGAAGGCCGCTTTGGGGTGAAAGCGGACAAAATTCACTTCTTGAATAAAATACAAAGATGCACATGCAATGAAGCATTCATTTCCAAGCAAGCCAACGGGCTGATCACACTGAATAAAGATACCCACAATTTCACACAAAAGGAAGGCTTCTCAACCAACATGTCCTTCCAAAAGTGAACGGATAAAGAAACTGCAACACAACCATACAGTGGAATATCATTTAGCAATAAAAGAAATGGGTTATCAAGCCGTGAGAAGACATGCAGGAAACTTAAATGCATATTTCTCAGTGCAAGAAGCCACTCCGAGAAAGGCCACATACTTTATGATTCCAACTATCTGGCATTCTGGAAAAGGCAAAACAGTGGAGACAAAAAGAATCAGTAGATGCCAGGGTTGAGGGGCGGGGAGGGAGAAAGAGGTGGAGAAGAGGGTTGTAGGGCAGTGAAACTACTCTGTGTGATCCTATAACATGGAAATGTGTCCTTACACATGGGCAAAACCCATGAAATGACTACCACCAAGAGTGAACCCCAATGTAAACTATGGACTTTGGGTGATAATGTGTGGGGGTAGGGGATATATGGGAAATCTCTCAATTTTGCTGTGAACCTAAAACTGTTCTAAAAAATAAGGTATATTAAAAATATGTGTTCTCTTGGGGCGTCTGGGTGGCTCAGTCGGTTAAGTGTCTGACTCTTGATTTCAGCTCAGGTCATGATCTTGGGGTCGTGAGATCGGGCCCTAAGTTGGGCTTCATGCTAGGCGTGGAGCCTACTTAAGATTCTCTTTCTCCCTCTGCCCCCGACCCCCCTCTCCCACTCCAAAAATACGTGTGTGTGTGTGTGTGTGTGTGTGTCTTCTCCTAAAGGAAACATAGCAATTATGAAACCCTCATAGTTCTTCCTCAAGTCTAAAAGACTCAGGATTTGTTTTAAAGTTCACCCGTCAACCAGGAGGTAGACGTGGAGATTCTTCCTAATTCAACACGAAGGAGAAATCACCTTTACCCTTTCACTCCGAGTAGGCAGCTAAGGCATCTTTAGCAAAAGTCATGTGCCTATCCTTTCAAAAGGACAGCATCTGTAGCCACCAGCGATGGTGCAATGTTGCTCCGAATATGCCCCGCGGCCTCCTTTCTCCCATGCTAAGTACCCTCAGGGAAGAGGTACCGCATCTCCAAAGTATTTAAACAGCACTAACCTTCGAAAATACCAACTCTGGAGAAGAATCAAATGCCCCACTTAGGTTTTTAAGAGCTGATCTATTTCTGTTTGCTGCCTTTGTCGTTGGGACAAAACCCGACTCCCACCCCCTGTCCCATCTGGAACAAGAATCTTGCTTCTTGTTAGTTCTACCTCGGAGCCCCCGTGTCTCCCCAACAATAAAATGAGCACACACACAAAAAAAGCCTCTTCTCCTCGGCTCACTTGCTTGGAGAAGCAAGAAGCCACGGTCTGTTGGCGCCTTCTCCCCTTGGATCCCCTTCATACATAAACACCCCTTGATCTACGTGTCTCCAGGCTCTCCTGTAGAAATGGGACTGCTTGAAAGAGGGGGCGGGGTTGCAGAGGAGCCTCAGGGTGCCGAAGGGGAGGGCAGCAGGGGGGCCTCAGGTACCTACCACGTAAACAAGATCCCCATCTGTCGGGTGGGCGGGAAGAACCGGTTCTCCACAAATCCCAGCTGGATGAAGTAGCTCATGAGCAGTTCAACCCCGGCCTCATCCCGGCTGGGTGTCCGGCAAGCCTGGAGGGAAAGGAACCACCGAAGGGGCGGGGGGGGGGGGGGGGGAGGGGGGAGTAGGTGAGGACGCAGCTCACAGCCACCCCAGATGTCACACTTGCTATGTTTGCAGAGCCTGGACCCCCGCTGCTGCTACCCTGAGCACTAGGAGGGGTGGAGAGGGCTGGGGTAGGCTCAGGAGTCCCCGAATCCAGCCTCAGATGTGCCAGGGGGCGTGTCTGTCCCCTGCTGTGGCCAGGCTGAACAGAGGGTTCTGAAAGCACCTCCCTATCACCTCCAACCACCCTCCACGGCAGCCACCCTCCCCTCCCCTTCCCTCCCCTGCCCGCCACACACCACACCGCACCTGTCTCAGATCCATCAAGTCTGCTATTTCGTCTTCATACAAGTAGCTGTCCTCACTGTAATGTTCCAGGATGAAATCCTGTAAGAAAAAGGAGATGAGATCCTGTAAGGTGTCATTCCAAACCATAAACAGGTAAAACAGGAATGTCTAATGTGCCCCCTCCCCCGGTTTAAAAATACATGTAGAATTCATACAACCAGGAGATTATATGCTACAGTGATTTTTCTGGATGCTGGGATTTATTTTCTGAACTGCATGTATATTTAAAAATGTTCCTCTTGTTGCTTCAGTAAAAAGGAAAGTTGAAGTCGTTTTTTTTATTTTAAAATGTGTTTGTGGGGGCGCCTGGCTGGCTCAGATGGTAGAGCACATGACTCTTGATCTCAGGGTCCTGAGTTCAAGCTCCACGTTGGGCATGGAGCCTACTTAAAAAAATAATAATAAAATATAATGTCTTTGCGTCACATTCAAGTGACTGTGTAAGTGACAATACGTTGAATAATTGTGGCAAACATCCCAGACACTCAGGAGCTCTGATGTCCATCCTGTGGGCCGCCTTCAGTACCTGGGCAGAGGGCCTTCCCAGCAAAGGAAATTCACATCTAGGAGCTGATAGGCGGCTACTACCCTCAGGGACTGTGAGAGGAACCTTTGTGAGAGCAGCTTTGGGCACTTCCACAAATGAAGCACCTGGATGAGACCCCCTAACCGGGTCCCCAGTCCAGCGTTCGATGACGACTCTGTGAGTTCATCCAGGCATACAGCACACACAGACGCGCGTCTGCTATGTCCAGGCACTGTTTGTAAGGCCTGGGCTCCACCAGTGAACAAAACAAAGACTTCCCCATGCAGCTTCTATTCTCACAAGGGGGCACAGACAATAAGTGACAGGCACAACAAATAAGTAAATTAGGGATGCCTGGGTAGCTCAGTCGGTTAAGCGTCTGCCTTTGGCTCAGGTTATGATCCCAGGGTCCTGGGATCGAGTCCCCCATCGGGCTCCTTGCTCAATGGGGACCCTGCTTCTTCCTCTCCCCCTGCCCTCTCCCCCCGCTCATGCTCGGTCTCTCAAATAAATAAAACTTAAAAAAAAAAAACCCAGATAAATAAGTAAATTATATTATATATTAGAAGATGGCAAGTATGATGGGGAACAAATAAAAATAGTATAAAGGGCATCGAGAGTGGCTTCTTGCATAGCATCTGCCCTAAGTGCTACCAGAAAGTGGAGGAAAGACATGTTCAACTGTGTGTTCTCAGGTGTCTGTGAGTGGATTCTCATTACACACTTTCTACACTAAAGCCCCTCCTGCTTTGTTCTATGCTATGTTCCGTGCATACACACATACATACACACACACTCACACACCCTCATCTTATAAAAATGGGGGTTTTGTTAAATGAATATACACATTTGCTGTGCTTTTCTTTTTGAACTGGCAATGTATCAAACATTTGCATATGTCATAGGACTTTAAAAAAAATTTTTTTTAAAGATTTTAGAGAAAGAAGAGAGAGAGCACGTACACGCAGGGAGGGGAAGGCGCAGAGGGAGAGGGAGAGAATCTCCAGCAGACTCTGCACTGAGTGTGGAGCCCGACTCAGGGCTCAATCCCATCACCTGAGCCAAAATCAAGAGTTGGACACTTAACCGACTGAGCCACCCAGCCACCCCTCCATAACACTTTTAATGATTATGTAATCCTCCAATGTAATGCGTGTACAACTCATCTATTAAACAAATAAATTGAGCACCTACTAATTGCTGGCCAATATATATCATGATATTCTTTGTTTGTTTGCTTAAATATTTTATTTATCTATTTGACAGAGAGAGACACAGCGAGAGAGGGAACACAAGCAGGGGGAGTGGGAGAGGGAGAAGCAGGCTCCCCCCACTCTCCCCCCGGGGAAGGAAGCCCTATGTGGGGCTCGATCCCAGGACCCTGGGATCATGACCTGAGCCGAAGGCAGATGCTTAACTGACTGAGCCACCCAGGCGCCCCTATATCATGATATTCTTAACCGCTTCTTGTTAGACATTTAAGTCACTTGTATGTTTTCTGTGATTAGAGATTATACCATGATAGTCATCCGCAAGCACACCTCTGATTAGCTCCTCAGCATAAATTTTGAGATGCCTTGCTGGGTCCAAGGATATACAGAGGCTCCTTCTGTTTTTCAATTTGGTCATTTTTACCCAATTTTTGCTTTCATTTTATGATGTTGTCACAGATTTTCTTTACAACTTAAAGTGCTGATGTTTGGAATCAGCTCCTCTACTAATACAAAGACCATTTGTAAAATGTGAAATGATCTTCCACTAGAATTATGTTATTAGTGATGTTAACAATGGTGAAAATGATCTGGAGGACAAAGTTCATCTAGGGTTTCTCTGATGACATCCCTGAAAGCAGTGTTACGGGTCACCACTCAGGGATGAGAGAAACTGCATCCTTTTCAGGACAGCACATTGTTCTGTCAAACTCTGCTGTGGACATTGGCAAAAATGTTCTTAAAATTAGGAGACAAGTTATACTTAAGGTAAGTTTAAAAAAAACCTTTACGTTAACCTCATAAAAGTCAAAGAGAATTTTTGGGCACTTCCACAAATGAAACACCCGGATGAAGCACACAAATTCTAAATGCATTCCTAAGCTAGATTAAACATAAATGTTTAAATATTAAATGTTATCATACTAAATAGTAGGATAAAAAATGTCTAGCTGAAACGCACTGTAAACATCAGGGATAAGACAAGGATTACACAACATAATTCTATTATATGACATAATTTTGAAGTTCTTGAGCCAATAAATTAAGACAAATATTAGAAAGGAATAAACAAAAATGATATAATTTTTTTTTTGCAAAATAATGGCACATTTACAAAACCTAGAGCACACCAACTGAAAAACTACTAAAATAATAGGAATTCAGTGAAATGGACACAAAGTTAATAGATATAAATCAACAGTCTTCCCTTTTTTTTTTTTAAAGATTTTTATTTATTTATTTGACAGACAGAGACACAGCGAGAGAGAGAACACAAGCAGGGGGAGTGGGAGAGGGAGAAACAGGCCTCCCGCTGAGCAGGGAGCCCAATGCGGGGCTCGATCCCAGAACTCTGGGATCATGACCTGAGCCGAAGGCAGACGCTTAACGACTGAGCCACCCAGGCGCCCCAATAGTCTTCCCTTCTTACATAAGCCATAACCAGTTAGAAAAATATAACTGGGAAACAATAACTTCCCAGTTGCACCATCTCAACAAAAGTGCAATATTCCCAGGGATAAAATTAACTGAATTCACTGAGCAGTTAAGTATTAAGCTTTACTGAAAGACATAAGTTATTTCATTCTTTCATGTATTCATTAAGGCATTTTTAAAAATTTCCAGTATAGTCAACATACAGTGTTATATTAGTCTCATTTGTACAGTATAGTGATTCAACAACTCTACACATTACTCAGTGCTCATCATGATAAGTGTGCTCTTGATCCCCTTCACCTGTTTCACCCCCACCCCCCAACCTCCCCTCTGGGAACCAGAAGTTTGTTATCTATGGTTAAGAGTCTGGTATTTTGCTTGTCTCTTATTTCTTTTTTCTTTTTTGTTTTCTTTCTTAAATTCCACTTATGAGTGAAATCATATGGTATTTGTGTTTCTCTGACTGACTCACCTCACTTAGCATTATAGTCTCCAAATCCACCCAGGTGTTACAAATGGGAAGCATTAAGTCTTTTTTTTTTTTTTTTAGTAAGACAGACATGGTCCCTGCCCCGCATAAAACTTGCTATTTGTTGACATATCAACAATTAGAAACATTATGTTCATAGATGAAAACGTGCAATATGGTAAAGATACAATTTTATCCTATATAAGCTATGATCTAATTAAATTTCAATCAAAACCCAAAAGTACTATTTCGGGAAAACTTGACAAAATATGGAAGTAAAAATGTGGGAGAAAAGCCAAGAACATTTGGAAAAGCATGGTCATAAAGGAGGCCTGCCCTAATGTGCTATTAAAACACATAGGGATTAAACAGTGAGCAATGGATAGACAACGAAACCAGGCATGGATCAGAAACAGACGGAAGTAGACTGAAGAATCAGGTGTCTTAACAAAAGCCAGCATTCTACAGAAGTGGGAAAGGCTAGAGCACCCAGCAGGTCCAGACAGGAAGAAGGTGGCACTCAAGGACGGCATGCCCGATGTGAATTTAAGGAAAAGGGCTAATACAGTGGTGTGGGCAGGGTTAAGGGAAACCACAGGGATGGTGCAGAACCTTCAGGGCCATTAGAACCCCAGAGCTAAAGGGTCAAGAAGGAGAAGGAGCTTTGAAAACCCGGAGAGATGGCTACCTGAGGTAGGCACCCAAAGCCACCAGGCCCTCCCTGCCAGGAATACAAAAGGAAGCCAGCTGAGCAGCCTGGAGAATAAATGTCCCTGTCCTCCTAGCCCCTCCAGCCTGCTGCGGCCTCCCTGGTGCAGAGCAGGATGGAGGAGGGTAGATGCAGGGGGTGGGGGGGCGGTCACAGAGGGAAATGGACACCATCCAGCACTACAGATGGCTTCTTTACATAGAGTTCAGGGGAAACTGGCTACCCATTTGGTGAAAATAAAAGGTTATAGCCCTATACCTCATATTTTACCCCCAAAACGAATGCCAGAGAGATTAAAGATTTGATGCAAAAACATACGAAACAAGAAGGTTGAGAGAAATAATAGCAAAATATGCCATCTTGGCATGCACAGTGCCTTTCTGAACATCGAGGCAGAACTGTAAAGGGAGGGATTAGTAAATTCAACAACATAAAATCTTAGTGGCAAAAATAGATGTATTATACTTTTTAAACTGGTTATTGCTTGTATAACAAGTTAAATTAAGGAGAGAATGCACTGAGAGAAATATCTGCAATATATATAACCAAGGAACCAAGGGTTAATACCCTTCATATGTAAAAGAACTCTTATAAGAAATAACAGCAAAACTATGGAAAAGCAGACGAAGGGCAGAAACAGTCATTTTGAAATCAAGCAAAAGCAGTAAAGGGCAAAGAAACATACACAAGAATGTATCCAACTCTAGTACTGATCAGAGAAATGCAAACCGTAATGTTATTATTTTGCCTGATTTCACAAAAATCAAAAAGATCCCATAAAAAAGGCCAAATGGTGAATGATAGCCAGCATAATGTAAGGTGCGGGAAGACAGGCGGTCACACACAGGGGTAGGAATGCAGGCGGGACCCCTTCTGGTGGGTAAGTAGGTCATATATATCTCCTACCTACCAAATCCACATCTAGAAATGTATCCAAAGAGAACACTGGGTGAAGAGTGCAGATGCTCAGTGGTGGGCCACAGACGATAGCAAGCACTGGGAAGCTGCGGAAAGAATGAGATTAACAGCCACCCTGTTCAGCACCTACCGCCAACAGACACCACTCAAAGCCCTAACAGAGGGGAGGGGATGAGTCACACACCCTCATGAGTCAGGTCCCTGATTAGAGCAAGAGCCCCAGTCTCCAAAGATTAAGTGCTGAGCAGGTTACTGAGCTCAGCAGGGAGAGGTGTTGGGGCTGGGAGGGATCTTTTCATGTGTTGCTATTTTTCCGAATGTTTTACAATCCTATTCTTAATCAAAATAAATAAATAAAGCTGTATTTGAAGGCCAAAAAATAAAAAACCTACCCAACCAACTTGAATTCTCTGGAAAGGGAATTTATTTTGATGGTGCCCTTTTTTTGAAAAGATGAGAAAGAGAGAGAGCGCACATGCGGGAAAGAATGGAGGGGGCGGGGAGCAGACTCCCTGCTGAGCAGGGAGCACAAAGCAGGGCTCGATCCAGGACCCTGAGATCATGACCTGAGCTGAAGGCAGACGCTCAATGACTGAGCCACCCAGGCGCCCCTTGATGGTACCTTTTAATGAAAAAGCACAGTGTGAAGCTTTACTGACCACAAAGTGTCACACGGATGCACAGTGAGGTGCTAGACAAGCCACACTTGGAGTTGTCCTCACTAAGCTGGCCGAGTTCTCCTGCAGCACCTGCCTGGGACCCTCCAACACACAACGCGGGAAGGAGAAAACAGAACGTCCCCTGATGTTCTCATTCTCGTATGACTGACATTTGAAGAGTCCCTCTTAGGCTAAAATGACATGGTTGGAAGCCTCAGCTGAATAGCACTTGGCCGTGCCCGCAACATGTGATTTTTTTTTTTCTTCCGCTGAGTTTAATGTGGAATCCAGCACGTGACACGTTTGGATCCTTACAGATGCCCATGAAATCTCCAAGCTGCTCCAAGTCTCCCTCTAACCCGCCTGCACTCTTGCAACCCTGGCACCAAGCAACAAACGGAATCGTAAAGAAACCACTCTACAGGGGCGCCCGGGTGGCTCAAAGTTGGTTCAGCGTCTGCCTTCGGCTCAGGTCATGATCCCAGGGTCCTGGGATGGAGCCCCGCATCGGGCTCCCTGCTCGGCGGGGAGTCTGCCTCTCCCTCAGCCTGCTGCTCCCCCTACTCGTGCTCTCTCTCTCTCTCTGACAAATAAATAAAATCTTTAAAAAAAAAAGAAAAAGAAACCACTCTACAAAAGCACCTAAAGACGTTTCCACAGACACAAGGACTGTCTGGAGTGTCATAGACATCTGTAAGTTCAGGCAGCCTGGAAAAAGTTGGTGCAAAGCCTGCAGCTCCCGGGTTGTTTTCTACCCAGAAAATCAAATCTCGTGTGATCCCGAGTCCTGTGACACTATCAACGTCCCTTCTCAAACTCCAAAACAAGCCCCAAAGTGACAGGGACCGGGACCTAGATGTAAACAAGGCAGCAGTCAAAAAGGCCCTGAGTGAAAGAGCTTCGGTCAACAGACTTACGGTCTCTGCTCCAGAATGGAGGTCAAGTGTAGCAGCTCTCAAAGTATGAACCGATGCCTTTTCAAAGGTCAGATTTTTTTTTTTATGGTTTTTTTTTTAAATTTTATTCTTATGTTAATCCCCATACATTACATCATTAGTTTTAGATGAAGTGCTCCATGATTCATTGTTTGTGCATAACACCCAGTGCTCCATGCAGAACGTGCCCTCCTCAATACCCACCACCAGGCTAACCCATCCTCCCACCCCCCTCCCCTCTAGAACCCTCAGTTTGTTTTTCAGAGTCCATCGTCTTTCATGGTTCGTCTACCCCTCCGATTTCCCCCGCTTCATTCTTCCCCTCCCGCTACCTTCTTCTTCTTTTTTTTTTCTTAACATATATTGCATTATTTGTTTCAGAGGTACAGATCTGAGATTCAACAGTCTTGCACAATTCACAGCACTTACCAGAGCACACACCCTCCCCAGTGTCCATCACCCAGTCACCCCATCCCTCCCACCCCACCCCCCACTCCAACAACACTCAGTTTGTTTCCTGCGATTAAGAATTCAAAGGTCAGATTTTACTGTGCCCAACCTGCATAGGATAATTTTTTTCTTCTCTAAATGAAAACTAGTCCAAGATGAGTCAACTAACAGGTTGCTATGCAAAGAAACATAATACTTGGAAGCATTTTTCACGACCCTGGGGTTCCACGCCTGTGCTAGGGGACTCAGAGGCCGGCGCTACCTCCCCCCCTACGTCGCCTTTCTCCTCCTAAATGGACGTTGGAGGTGATTCGTTAAAACTCAGAATGACGGGGCTGGGGAGAGGAGGAAGGGGAGGGCATCCCGGGCACAGGGAGGCCTCTCCTGGCCCTGGAGTGGGGGTGAGGCCTCTCCGGGGGCCTGCACCAAAGCACCTGTTCCAATTCCCACCTGAATCCCCCCACTGAACCACAGGCCTAGAGTGCAGCATCCAGCCCTCAGGCACAGGTGGGCCTACAGGTAGCAGCTGCTTACCAGGGACCCCCACAGTTAAAGAGGAGGCCAGATACTGGTTTTTTAAAAAGCTGTTATTTGGGGGGCACCTAGATGGCTCAGCCGGTTAAGTGTCTGCCTTTGCCGCAGGTCATGATCCCAGAGTCCTGGGATCGAGCCCCGCATCAGGCTCCCTGCTCGGCAGGGAGTCTGCTTCTCCCTCTGCCTCTGACCCACCCCCCTGCTCATGCTCTCGCTCGTGCTTGCTCTCTTCTCTTTCAAATAAATAAATTAAATCTTAAAAAAAAAAAAAAAAGCTGTTATTTTTTTAAAAAGAAGAGAAAAAAATCAGAAAGAGAAGGGAGAGAAGGAGGACGGAAGAAAGAGAGGAGAGGAGGCTGGATACCCAGGAATTCATGGAGAAAAAAAACCCCCCATAAATTCCAGCTCTTTAAGTATTTAAAGATAGTGAACCAACACGTTCGATTCACTGTGAAATATAACAAAAAACAGGATGGATTGGTATATCGATACAGGGATGCACAGATGGATAAATATGTGATTAAATAACTCTAGCAAAATGTTCATGGTACAATCTAGGTACTGAGTATATAGGGATTCACTACAAAATTCTTTCAGTTTTTCTCTAAGTTTAGAAATTTTCATAATAAAATGTTGGGGGAAAAATTAGCGATTCTCCCATAAACATGGCCTAAATTGGTTTCCAAATTTAAGAAAAAATTAAAATAGGGCACAATTTTAAAATTCCAAAGCACATCCTCCACGGGCCGTCTCTAGCTTGTCCTCCTGGGGAGGGCAGGCCCAGGTTTTTAACTTGCCTTCCGGGGCCCCTGAGCCTCGGAGGGACCAAAGATGGTGTGAGGTCACAGGAGGACAGACAGCATAAGGTTCTCCGGCTTTCTGAGGGGCCCACAGGCGCCCTGCAGAAATCCGCTGACACTCAGCCCACTGAGCCTAAGGCCACAAACAATTCCTAGTTTGTTTTTTTAAACAGTGAGTCTAGTGTCCATTGCTTTGAGATTTACCTTGAGAACCACGGAGAAGTCAACATCCTTGGTTTCCTTCAGGCCAAGCGGAATTAGCGGGACCGTAAATGCCTCCCTATAAGGAACACAGCAAGGTAATGAACATCAGGATCCCAGCCACTCTGCGCCCAGCAGCCCAGCTCAGGGCCCCCCCACCTTTGGACCCCAGTCCCGCAAACACTACTTCATGTTCCATAAAGAGGACTCTGGTTATGTGCCTGTCTCTGTTCTAAGCCCAATCCCAGCACCCTGTGACTTCTGGACTACGCAGCCTAACACATGAGGGCCTACCACCTTGACCTCGGTCCCGATCTCCACCCTTCTTTGAGTGACTGTGCTTAGGACTTCCTGTGTCCCAGGGTCTGGGCCTGGGGTGTGCACTGCTCCCCAACCTGGGTGCAGTGGACCTCCTTCATCAGCGCCCATCCCCACTCTCCTCCCCCATTCCTCACCAGGGCAGGTCCTACCTCTCCTGCGGCCCTCCAATCCTGGGCTCTCGGGGGCCTCCTCTGATGGGGCGTATCCCCCTCTGTGTCCCATCACCTGCACGGGGAAGGCCTTGAGGGCCGGGGCCCCTTTGGACACCTAAATGCACCTAGCTCCAGCCCAGTGTCATGCCCTGGACAGCTATTTGCTCCCCACGTGGGTGGCTCCCCCCCACCAACTGACCAGTTAGTTCCCCCACAGGTCAGCCTGGAAGTATATGCCCTGAGCCTACATTCTTAGGTACAGGGGCAGGGCCAACAGGAAGTAAAGGGGGCTCGGGCTGTGTTTTGCAAATAGGGATTTAGCTCCCTGACCTGTAACAGGAGACCTCCTGGGGCCGCTCAGCCCAGCCGGGGAGAAGGCCAGGAATGCTGAGCAGGGTGAGTGGACAATGCAGCTGTAAGCTGAAACTGTCTCTGTGGCCAAGAGAAAACCACGGGCTGCGCTAAAAGCAGGCGAGCTCCAACCGTGGGGGTGCGTGGCTTCCCCAAAGCCTGCAGGGAAAGCCGGACCCTACTGGAAGGGAGAGAGCATGGACCATGCCTCTCTCCTCTGGGCCCCCCAGCACCCTCTTGCCCTCACCCCACTGGGGCTGCAGACAAGGCCTGTTCTCCCCGGGACTGTGGAGAGCAGCCAGGGCACCCCAGCCCCAACCCTGCGCTAACGTTAACTCCCTCCATGACCTCCAGCCTCGTGTTTTCTCATCTGCCCAGCCAGACTGTTTCTTCCCCGCCTGCCTCGCAGAAACGTTTAAAGATCAACTGTGCTTAGAAAGAAAAGCTTTGAAAACAGGAAGGGGGCGGAGGCGACCCCAAGGCGTCATTATGAACCTGCACATCTCTCTCCCCACTCTTCCCGATGGCACAGGGGACTGCCCGGCCACCGAGAGCCACGCTGTAATCACACAGGGGCCTTCGTGCCTGTCTCTGCGGGCTGCCCTCACGACAGACCTCCCCGCGTTCCAGGACAGCAAGTGGGAATATGAAACATCCTCCATTTACCAGCAAACCATTACCTGCCTCGCTTACTCAAGAAACTTCGACCTTTGCACAGAACGCTAGAATTTAATACCACGGCGGATATTTGGTGTTCTGATTAGGTGTTCAAAACCACACTGGGAGTCCACAGGTGAGCAAGCCAGGACACATGGACGTCACAGAAGGAAGAGGAGAGGTTTCACAAACTAACGCTTTCCCTCAGGCCTTGAAAAACACCCACGCGCCACAAAGAGGCTTGGAGACAATCAGGAAAAGCACACTCCAGAGGTGACTCAGGGTTCCCAAATGTCATCCTTTTGTGAATCCACAGGACTGTTTACTGACTGAGTCTCCCCTGGCACACACCCACCTTTTGAGAAGTCTCACTTCCCCACACAGAGCTTCTCAAAGTTATTTCTCCGTAAAGATGGACTTCTCTTTCAAAGGTAGCTCACCCTGGGGAGGCTTTCTGAGCTTTTCTGAAGGCCCTGCCTCAAAACCGTGCCTCCCACAAACACTCCCTAGGGGAGGCTTCTGAATTACGACATTTGTTTCTCAAAGATTTACTGGGGCACATTTCTGAAGTGTCTCCTCAGGGAACTCGCATATGTCCCCTTAATCTTTGATGTAAACGATCCCTGTCAAGCAGTGTATGTGCTTTTGCGTCCTATCCACAGAATGACCCAGTCAGGCCCTGTGCATGGTGATGAGGCTGACAGGGAAGAAGGGAGGGCAATGTGGGACCCCACCTGGCAGGCTGGCTCTCAAATCCAACCACAAGTGTGCGTGCAGGGCATCTTTATGATACAGCCATGTGAGAGATGGCGTCTCTTCACCTGGACCCAGTCACCCGCAGCTCTTCCCTAAAACTATGTTGCAAGGGTCCAAGGACAATTGGATACCTTTTTGTCCAACTCCCCAGGTATTTTCAACAAACTCCATCTGCTCATCCCTTGACTCTTGCACCATGCTCAATCCTCAACCTGATCAATCCCTCTCTTCCCAAAGCGGGGTCAGCCACATCCTCAGGTCTGTCTGGGCACCAACCCGATATGGCATGTTTTGAGGCTCAGAAAGTAACTAGAATAAGCATTGCCCCCACTTACTCTGTGCTCTGGTAGACTCCCACTGAGATGTTGAGCCCCTCCAGCTCTTCCTTGAGCATCTGCAGGTCTGAGTTCACGAAGCTCAGTTCCAGGCGCACCTGCTCCCGTACCTTGTGGTTCGTAGCTACTCTGTTAGAAGAGAAGGGGGGGAAAAGTGCCTTCAGCCAAGCTGCCCAGCTGCCAAGGGAGCAGACCTCCCAGACTCCATAAGGAAGTTCTGAGGGTTCACTTGCAGATGTGAGGGCCAGATGTGACCAGGAAAGATGTCTCCGAGATGCACCTGGCCTATCTTGAGCCACTCCTGCCAGTAAATGGACCTGGGACGTAGCTGATAAACTGAGCTGCCAGACATGAATCTTAAGACACCCCTGCAAAGAATTAGCTTTGAGAAGAGAAAAGAGAACTGCTCCCAGCCACCCAAAAAGACCATAAATTATCCCCTGGAAAGGAAATGGCTAAGAAAACAGAGGAGGAGGTAATGCTCCTCAGCTCATTCTATGAGGTCTAGTCTTACCCGGACTCAGACCAGAGGAAGACATCACAAGAAAGCAAAACAATAAACCGACATCATTCATGACTATGTATGCAAAAATCCTCAACAAAATATTAGCAAGCCGAACCCAGCAACATTTAACAAGGATTATATACCACAACCAAGTGGGACTTATCCCAGGATTGCAAGGTTGGTTTAATATCTGAAAATCAATTACTGTAACACACCATATTAATAGGAAATAGGATAAAAACCACATGGTCCTCTCAATAGATACAAAAAAAGTCCAACACAGATTCATGATAAAAATTCTCAATGAACTAGGAACAGAAGAGAATTTACAAAACTTCATAAAAAGCATCTACGAAAACACAAAGTTAACATCATACCAGTGGTGAAAAGACATGCTTCCCCATTATGATCAGGAACAAGGCAAAGACATCCATTTTTGCCACTTCTAATCACTACTGTACTAGAACTTCAAACCAGTGGCAATAGGTAAATAAAGAAATTAAAGGCGTCTGGATTGCAAAGGAAGAAGTAAAACTGTCTTTATTCATAGTTGACATAATCTCGTATGTAGAAAATCCCAAGGCATTCACAAAACACATACTAGAACTAATACATTCAGCAAGGTCACAGGATACAATTCAGTCCACAAAAATCAATTTTATCTCCACTACCAGCAATGAGCACTCTTAAGACGAAATTAAGAAAACAATTTCATTCACAATAGCATCAAAAAGAGTAAAATATTTTGAAATAAATTTAACAAAAGAAGAATTAGACTTGTACACTGAAAACTACAAAACAGTGCATATTAAACGGAGAGACAGTCCGTGTTTACGCATTAGACGATTCACTATTGTTAAGGTGTCAATTCTCTCTAATTGATCAATTCAATGCAGTTCCAGTCAAAATCCCAGTGAACTTTTTAGTAGAAATTGACAGACTGATCCTAAAATTTATATGGAAATGCAAAAGACCTAGAAGCCAAATAATTCTGAAAAAGAACAAAGTTGGAGGGTTTATGCTATCGGATTTTAAAACTTACTATAAATCCACAGCAATCAAGATAATGTAGTATGGACATAAGGATAGGCGTTGGAACAAAACAGAATCCAGAAATAAATCCTGACATTTACAGTCAATTGCTTTTGACAAAGGTGACAAGATATTTCAAGGAAGGAAAGACAGTCTTTTCAACAGTGTCCCCAAGATCACCCCCACATTCAGTGATCCACTCGGAGGACTCACAGGACTCATAACATAGTTGTACTCATGGCTCTGATTTACTACAGCAAAAGGGAAAAGGTACACGGGGTGAGGTCTGGAGGAAACCAGGCACAGGCTGCAAAGGGTCCTCTTTCCCAGGAGAGTCACATGGGATGTGCTGAACTCCTCCAACAGTGTTCTGACAACACGTGTGAAATGCTCTCTACTCAGGAAGCTCATTCGAGCCATGGTGGTCTAGGTTTTTACTGGGGACTGGTCAGGTAGGCACTTGTTTCTAGCATGTTCCAAAATTCCAGACTCCCAGAAGGAAGCAGGTACTCAGCATAAACCACACTGTTTGTGCAAACAGTTCAGGCACAATGAGCCCCTCTTATCAGTTCTGGAAATGGTGGAAACAATCCTGAAATTAAGTTTCCAGACACCAGCCAAAGGCCAACCTTGCAAGCAGGCTTTCTAAGGATAGCTGTCTCAGGTCTGCTTTGATAAATCTTTTCTGCACAATCAGCAAAAAACCTCAATCTAAATCTCATCCCATACATAAATATTAAGTCAAAATGGATCAGAGATGGGGCACCTGCGTGGCTCAGTCTGTTGAGCATCTGCCTTTGGCTCAGGTCATGATCTCAGGGTCCTGGGATGGAGCTCTGTGTCCAGCTCCCTGCTCAGCGGGGAATCTGCTTCTCCCACTCCCTCTGCCCTTCCTCCCCGCCCCGCTGGTGCTCTCTTTCTCAAATGAGTAAATAAAATCTTTTTAAAAAATGGATCAGAGACTTCAGTATAAGAGCTAAAACTCTACCACTTCTAGAGGAAAATACAGAAGAAAATCTTTATGACCTTGGGCTGGACAGTGTTCTTCGCTATACACCAAAAGCACAATCCGTGAAAGAAGAAATCGAATTGGATTCTGTCAAATGTAAAAACTTCTGTGATTCAGAAGACACCATAAAAGAGAGAAAAAAAAAAAGAAAACACAAGCCACAGCCTGGGAGAAAAATATTTGCAAATTATATAAATGATAGAGAGACTTTGTATCTAGACTATATAAAGAGTTCTGTTGATTAAATAATAAAAAGACATATAATTTTTTTAACAGGCAAAAGATTTTTTTAAATTGAGATGTAATTGACATACAACATTATATTAGTTTCAGGTATAAAACATAATAATTCCATATTTATATATATTACAAAAGATCAGCACTATAAATCTAGTTAACAGTCACCACCATAGTTACAGAATTTTTTCTTGTGGTAAGACCTTTTAAGACTTACTCTCTTAGCAACTTTAAAATATGCCATACAGTATTATTAACTATAGTCACTATGGAATACATTAAATCCCCATGACTTGTTTATTTTATAACTGAAAGTTTGTGTCTCTTGACCCCCTTTACCTATTTCACCCATCTTCCAACCCCCAACTCTGGCAAGCATCCATCTGTTCTCTGTATCTATGAGCTTTTTTTTTTTTTTAATAAAGATTCTACATATAAATGGGATCATACGGTATTTCTCTTTCTGACTTATATCACTTAACACAATGCCCTCGAGGTCCATCCATATTGTCACAAATGGCAAGATTTCGTGCTTCTTTATGGCCAAATAACATTACACAGTATATACATACCGCATCTTCTTTATCCATTCATCCACTGATGGACGCTTAGGTTGTTTTCCATATCTTGACTATTGTAAATAACACTTCAGTGAACATGGGGGTGCATGTATCTTTTCGAGTGAGTGTGTTTGTTTTCCTCAAATAAGTACCCAGAAGTGGAACTGCTGGATCACATGGTAGTTCTAATTTTAGTTTTTTTAAGGGAACTGCATACTGTTTTCCATAGTGGCTGCACCAATTTACATTCCCCACCAACAGTGCACGAGGATTCCCTTTTCTCCATGTTCTCACCAACACTTATTATTTCTTCTCTTTTTGATAACAGCCATGCTAACAGGTGTGAGGTCTCACTGTGGTTTTGATTTGCCGTTCCCAGCTGATGAGTGATGTTGAGCATCTTTTCATGTGTCTATTGGCCATCTTTTGTCTACTTTGGGAAAATGTCTATTCAGATCCTCTGCCGGTTTTTTAATCAGATTGTTTTTGTGTTATTGAATTGTATGAGTTCTTTATGTATTTTGATATGAAACCCTTAGCAGATAGATGACTTACAAATATTTTCTCCCACTGCCTTTTCATTTTGTTGATGGTCCTTGCTGTGCAGTTTTGTAGTTTGCTGTGTAGTCCCACGTGTTTATTTTTTTGCTTTTGGTGTCAAATCCAAAAAATCATCACCATGTCCAGGGGCTTACCCCCTGTGTTTTCTTCTAGGACTTTTATGGTTTCAGGTCTTATATTCAAGTCTTTAATCCATTTTGAGTTAATTTTTGTGTGTCATGTAAGACAGTGGCCCAGTTTCATCTTTTATACACGGCTGTCCAGTTTCCCCATCGCTAAGACACTATCCTTTCTCCACTGTATATTCTTGGCTCCTTTGTATTAAGTGAATTGATCATATATGCATGGGTTTATTTCTGTACTCTATTCTGTTTCACTCATCTATGTGTCTGTTTTTATGCCAATACCATACTGTTTTTTTTTTTTTTAAAGATTTTATTTATTTGAGAGAGAGAGAATGAGAGACAGAGAGCACGAGAGGGAAGAGGGCAGAGGGAGAAGCAGACTCCCTGCTGAGCAGGGAGCCCGATGTGGGACTCGATCCCGGGACTCCAGGATCATGACCTGAGCCAAAGGCAGTCGCTTAACCAACTGAGCCACCCAGGCGCCCCTCATACTGTTTTGATTACTATAGCTGTGTAATATAGTTTGAAATCAGGAAGCGTGATACCTCCAACTTTGTTCTTCTTTCTCAAGATTGCTTTGACTATTCAGACTCTTGTGTGGTTCCATGGAAATTTTAGAATTGTTTTATCTACTTTTGAAAAGTGCCACTGGAATTTTGATAGGGATTGCACTGAATTTGTAGACTGCTCTGGCTGTATGGACATTTGAACAATATTAATTCTTCCAATCCATGAGCATGGGATATCTTTCCATTTATTTGTGCCTTCAATGTCTTTCATCAGTGTCATAGTTTCCAGTGTACAGGTCTTTCACCTCTTTTGTTAAATTTATTCTTAGGTATTTTATTAGTTTTGATGCAATTGTAAATGGAATTATTTTCTTAATTTCTCTTTCTGATAATTCATTATTGGTGTATAGAAATAAGGCAGATTCCTGTATATTGATTGTGTATCCTGCAACTTTCTGAATTCATGAAATGGACAAAGACTTGAATAGACATTTTACTGAAGAATATACATGAATGTCTAATAAGCACACAAAAAGGTATGTCTTGACTCAATATAGGGAAATACAAATTAAAAGCATAATGAGATACCAA